TGGCGTTTGACTGCAAATGATATACACACCCTTTGCGATGTCACTACAACCCCAATGATCTTGATTTATTAGTGATACAGTTCGATACCCACTGACAATGATAAAACATCCTTATGAAAACCCGCAAATTCGTTGATGTCTTCCCAAATTTATTTGGGTTTTGCGAACCTTGTCATCCACGGGACCAAATGTTTTTTCAATTTGAAGGCAGATTCTATCTTATTGATGGTTATGGTAAGTCCTTTTTTTTTTTATGTTACTACCATGGAAGAAAATGCCGATAATATCGGCGAAATATCGCCGATATTATCGGTTTTTCGCGCAATGGATATTTAAATAGGTATCCGAATGGTTTTCGTCAAAATATCGCGATATTTTTTTGAACGGTGCAATCGGACTCCGAGCCGAACGTCGGAGAAGAACGCCGAAGATGGTGTGCCTATTCCCGAGCTGATTTCGTCCCAAAAACCTTGCAAAAACACGATTTTTAACTTCAATTTCACATATAAACTTCAAATTTCACGCATGCAAGAGGTAATCAACGATTCAACATATGTGATGTCGGTTTAGGGTTTAGGGTTTCAATGGAATCTCACCTGAAAACTTGTTTTCTTCGAGTCGAAGACGAACCAGATGACTGAGCCAACTTCTTGCTCAGCGGCGCACCGCCACAGACGACTGAGCCAATTCCGACTTCGCCAGAGCCACGATCAACGGCGGCGACACCCAGAAAGCTGGTTTCTGAAAAGGAAGAGGGATTCGAGATTGTCGGACTGAGGAGCAGAAGGATCAAGAGAGTGGGAGAAGGATCGAGAGACCTTGGGTCTCTGTGCGTGTGTGTGGGAGAAGGATAGAGAGAGTGGGAGATCTGTGTGTGTGTGGGAGAATGGAGAAGGGGGAGAAAAGAGCTTAGGCCTCAGAGTAAAAGATAGAAGGATCAAGAATTCGAGAGAGAAAGAGAGACGTATGTGTGTGAGATCTGTGTGCGTGTGTTGTGTGCGTGTGTGATGGCATGTCTGAGAGAGTGGGAGATCTGTGTGTGTGTGGGAGAATGGAGAAGGGGGAGAAGAGAGTTCAGGCGCCTCAGAGAAGAAGAGAGAAGGATCAAGAATGAGAGAGAGAGAGAGAGACGTATGCGTGTGAGATCTGTGTGCGTGTGTGATGGCATGTCTATGTGTGTGTGCCTGTGTGATCTGACTCACCTAACTAATTGTTCAATCACTTTTTACAATTTCAGACAATTTTCTACATATTTTCTACACTCACAATGTTTGTCAGCTCGCTATATAATCAACTTGATAATGTTAAATCCATCATGCAATGCATTTCCTTCCAATTTTTTGTGATAAACTAATAGATAATTGACTAAATAAACATCCTGCAAAGTTTCAATAAAAATTTCCAAGTTTTTCTTACAATTTCCGTGGTTTCCATGTAATTTTTATCGATATCGATATTATCCCGATATTTCCATCGATATTTTCGTGTTTTCGGACTACCGATATTTCCGATATTACCGATATTTAAATCCTTGGTTACTACTGATCAGTCCATCTCAGATATGAAAGTGGTTGTACACAAATGTGGAGGGCAGAATGTCTATCTGTCATAATCATGCAGTATAACTATACAATGGATTTAGGGCTGTTAAGTTGACTTTGATACCAAATGTTGGAACTAATATTAAACTCAACATTAACCCTAAATCACACATTAATGTATATGAGTAGAAGACTTACCTGTCAAAGACATGGTGGTTGTAAAAGAACTCTTCTACTCACTTAGAGACCTTTATATTATAATGGTGATAGACCCCCTAAACGTAGAACCCTTTCTCTATGAGCAGGGAATTCATTTATATAGATGCAATGATAGCCAACTTCCATCTATCGTGGAGGGTTGGTTGTTCACCTGTTGCACCCAATCGAACCGTGTGTGGAGCAGTTGTGATTAGTGCTTATTTTCAAATGCATGTTGGAAGTGTATTCCTCAATTATAGGATGTAGCTTTATACGTATTCAAACTCTATTTGATTTGTATTACCAACCTATTACTTCTCCTTTATCCTAACTTGTTAAGTCCACATAGGATTCTTGCAACATGTGCTTAAAATCTTTCACTAATATCCTGAATTTTACACTAATATGCTAAAGTCATGGTCTAAAATATCGATATTATCGGTGATATTTCACTAATAATATTATTTTTGTGAGAGGGCGATATTTTTACACTTATCCACTTAATTATCGTCAATATATCGCGATATTATCGATAATATCGCGATATTTTAAGACTGGTGCGAATCAGAGAAGAACGCCAAAGCTTCTACATCTCTGGCCGACTGTAAAAGAGCACCGTAGACTCCGATCTAGGTATCAAAATGAAACACAAGATGAGAGGAATGTTTTTATTCCTTCCGTTTGCAGTGAAACGGTCGGAGGTGTTCAAAAAGTTCCTTAACACTCACGGCCTCGCCGGAGCTGGGTGTGTCTTCCCCAGGTCGATCTCGTTTAGCTTGTTAAAAAAAATGAGATAAAACTTTGTAGATCTCAACCACACAACATCCAAGATGAATTGAGGTAACCTGGGGCTGACCTAACCAGAGAATGATCAAGAGAACTCGCCGGAGAGTTCCTGGGTTCCACTATCCTAGCTGCACCGAGAGAAAGGGAGAGAAAGGGAGAGAAAGACGAGGTTTAGATGGTGATAATGATGCCGTTGACGGAGTACTACGAAGGATGTGCGATGACTAGGTATGTGTGTGTGTTCGACGGGAAGATGAGAGAACACAGAGAGACTCGGGGAAGAAGAGGAAAAGGAAGAGAGTGTGAGGGAGGGAAAGAAAAGAGAGAGAGAGAGAGAGAGAGAGAGAGAGAGAGAGAGAGAGAGAGAGAGAGAAAAGCTTGGACCCGGGGAGCAACAAACAAAGGTGGGCCCCGTGGCACACCTATTAAGACTCAAAAACAATTTTAAAAGTAAAATAAACTCAAACTTAGTGAAAATACAATTTAAATCGAGGGTGGGTGTAACAATCTACCATGCAATATATAAAGTGTAAAATATATAATGAATTAGTACAATTCATTATATATGCAATGAGATTTAAAATATTGTACTAATTCATTATATATAAATGATTATGGTGTATTTAAACTTCTTTCATTAATTACTACATATTTTCTACACTCACAATGTTTGCCAGCTCGCTATATAATCAACTTAAATCAGTTAAATCCATCATGCAATGCATTTCCTTCCAATGTTTTGTGATAAACTAATAAATAATTGACTAAATAAATATTCTGCAAAGTTTCAATAAAAATTTCCAAGTTTTTCTTACAATTTCGGTGGTTTTTATTCAATTTTTATCGATATCAATAATATCCCGATATTTCCATCGAAATTTCTGTGTTTTTGGACTACCGATATTTCCGATATCATTGATATTTTAAACCTTGGCTAAAGTTAATCTTTTAAAAGTTTAACAAATCATAATATGTTGTTAATAACGTCTCTTTTCAAGCCCAACTAGAACTAGCGCTAATCATAATATGTCAATAAATACCCAAGCATCATCTGATTTTCTTTGAATTTTTCTTTTGATAAGATGAGGCCGGTATCCCAGAGGAAAAATATCCAACTCGCAATTCTTTTGACGACAAGATTTTCCATCACTTTATCATTGTCCATTGTGCTGGCGGCTAAATAATTTTTTCTACGTCATGTTATTGCGGGATGCCGGAAAGAAATCCCCTCAGAATCACTTTCTTGTAATTCATTAAGTTTGAAGATTCGGATTATTAAAATTTAATCTATCAATTATAAATAGGAACCTACTTTAAATGTTATAATAACTTTAACCGTTTGAATAAATTTTAATGATTTGGATCTCCGAACTTGATGGATTAAATAAATGGGATAGGGACAGGATCCATTTCCCTCGAGGCCACCTAGTGACTTCAACCCATCAATGATCACAGAGAAGAGACGCACTCCCAAATAAAGCTACACGTTTTAATTTTCTTCCAACTTTCACAATCCTTCACCAAAAACAATATTTGACTTAGAACGCTGATAGTAAAATGTGAGCATTTAACTCCAATCAATTAACGATTAGAATAATACTTCATTTTTTGACGTAGAATAATATTCTCAACTCTAAATTGGAATAATAAACACTCTAAGTCAGTCACATGCTTATATATGTGACAATTGTTGGATGCATTAATAGAGAACTAAAGTGCTTTTCGTGGACCCATTATGTTTTACCATTTCCTTTTTTTTATTAAAATAGCATTTTGTCACATGATCATGCTCCTGTTCTGTATCTTTCAACTACCAAATTTTCATAATTTCATTATATGTACCTAAACAACACACTACATAGTAGAGATTACAATATATATTGAAAGGAAAATCATATTCACACTACTTATTTCTCTTTTTACACACCATTATTTAATTTTAAGCGTTATTTTCTTTTACTTTATTCAATTTGATGACCAAAATAAAAATAAATGTGTAAATGAGCTAAAAAGTGTGTAGTTGTTATCTCCCCTATCCACACAAAAAAGGAGATATGTGAAAATATACTCCATGTTTTAGATGATTTTGAAAATGGCCATGACTTGAATTTTTCATACTGCCACACAATTTTGATATGCTACCAATTTCATCCTTTTGTGTGTTTAGCTGGATGTTCCTCCGTTGACTGCCTTACCTAAAAAGCGAAAGACAATGAGAACACGCCACAACATCTCGTTAAGGGCATTTTCGGAAGAATATTTTCCCGTCCTTTTTTTTTGATCTGATAAGAGTAATGCTCGGTTAGACCTTCTTTAGGTTGCCTAGGTAATTGCCTTGACAATTCCGCTTTGTGTTAGACCCAAATTGTTCAAGGGAAATAAATTTCTTACAAAAAATCCCCTTAACGAGATGTTGTGGTGTTTGATTGCCTTTTGGAAGTGAGTCACGTAAATAGTTAATGGAAAAATATACAATAAAAAACGTCAAAATGCTAAAATTGATAACACTGTAGAAATTGAGCAATGAGAAAAAACTTGAAAAAGACAAAAGAGTGTGCCCTTTACAATAGTTAAAAAAGGGAACAATTTGGGTTTATTGAAGATTTGAAAACATCTTATGGTGTTTTCATAGCCACTTCACATAAGCATTGGCAAAGTTCTATAGGCTTTGTTAGCATGACCATATGGCCAGCTTCTCTAATCAATCTCACTTCTGCATTCGGACTATTCTCAATCATCCACCGTTGAAATTCTTCTTTCATCACCTCATCTTCTTCACACACTACAAAAACCCTAGTTACCGACCCGAATTTCGCTTCTGTAAGCAACCCTTCCTTGTTCATGTCTTCCAAGAACATCCCAGATGGCCTTATCAACATTTTAGCTAATTCCAGATCCTGCATGCAAAGATAAAACCAATACGACTGTGTTTTAATCAACCATTGGGACACTAGGATTTAATCTGGGGTAAGGTAAGAAAACTAGCCTCTGGTTTGCAGTGCTGGTACAATTTGGCTGCCATATATTGTGAACCAAACAGAACTGAAGTCAACTGATTTTCCGGGTTATTTTGTCCAAATGTGAACTGGCAATCCAATAACGACTCCGCCGAGGTCCTTTTCAAGAACTTTGATTTCCATCACACAAAAAATTTACAAAGCCAAAAGAAAAATTAGAGCTTGTTTAATAACCATTTCAGTTTTTAGCTAGTTTAAACTCAAAATGAAATGGTAACAAATGAATCAAAATATAAAAAGAAATACAAAAATCAATTACTTCTTGTATGAGGACTCCGGGGGGGAAAGTGTAATGAGGCAAATAGGCTGTGACAAAAACAGCAACCGAAATCTTCTGAGGAAACATCTCCATGGCTAAAGATATAGGAAGGCCGCCATAACTATGACCTACCAATATCACCTTCTCATCTTCAGGAATAGAACCCAAGAACTCCATCAATGGCTGGACATAATCCCAAATGGAAGTGACCTCGTGAATCTGGTTGGAATGGATCCCAGAACCACCGAGGTCCAACGCGGTGACGCGGTGGCCAGCATGTCGGAGTAGGGCAACAAGCTTGTACCAACACCATGCTCCGAGGCAACTGCCGTGAACCAAAACGAAGTGCTTTGCATTCTGCATATTCCTTGATAGTAGCTTATGAGAAAGCAGTGCGAACATATATACAGCAATCAGGAGAAAAAGAAACAAACAGAAGCAGCGCCAAAGGATAAGGATGGCTGGCGCGTGTTATTTCCAAATGAGATATTGTATTCTCACTTCAAATTACTTTTCACACATATTTTTAATTTTTAATATTTTTTTACTAAATGTTAGTGGTGTGTCAAAAAATATTAAAAAAATTAAAAAATGTTTATTATTGTAGGCCTATTGATTGAACGATCTAGAGTTTAGAGAGAGAGAGGGGACCGGCAACAATTAGAGAGAAGAGATTGATTTAATTGTGAGATGCGTTTGATTCACCTCATTGTGCCTTTATTTATAGTAGTAGGATAGGTAAAAACCTTTCCCTTTAGGATTACAACATTTAATAGGTAATCTACTCCTAATAGGAATATAAGATACTTTCTCATATCTCTTAGGATTTATACAATCACATTCATATTCTAAATATGACTGCAACACTCCCCCTTGAGTGTGTAAATACTCAACAAACCATCACATCAGATTTTCAGCAGATAAGATAGAATAGTTGATGAAGTCATCGGCACAACAGGTGATCGCAAGTCTCAAATTTAAGTGAAGTATGCATTTGCAGTAAAACTCACAAAACCTCGCTAAGATAAAACCCAAGGCATGGGGAAAACCCATAGACTAAGGAGAAAAGTGAGAAGTATGCATAATGTCTAAAACGAACGTCAAACTGGACTTAGGTAGTGAACCCATCAAAGTATGATCATCCCAGGATGGGTGCCTCATTAAAACCTCATTAGCAAAAACCCAGTGGGAAAAATGCTCCTAATCGTAGGAAAAAGAGTACATTAAGATCATGTGAGTATGCTTCTTGATACTCCCCCTGAGTTAGACATATCTTCTAAATAAGAGAACTACAAGCGATTCAACTCAGATAATTTACACATACTAATTCATTGAACGAGCTTCTGAAATGTAGACTTAGGCAACAACTTGGTTAAGAGATCGTCCAGGTTGTCTTGGGAACAAATTTGCTTGACTTCAATGTTCTGATGTTGTTAGTGGTGGTGTGAGTAAAAGAACTTCGGCGCTATATGCTTGGTGTTGTCTCCCTTGATGTATCCCTTCTCCAACTGCTCAATACATGTTGCATTGTCTTCAAAGATCGTCGTAGGAAGGTCAACAACTGATGTAAGACCACTAGTGCTTTGAATGTGTCATAACTTCTTTCAACCAAAAGCACTCACGCGATGCTTCATGTAGGGCAAAAATCTCAGTATGGTTAGACGAAGTCGCAACTAGCGTTTGCTTGGTAGACCTCCAGAATATAGCGGTGTCTCCAACGGTAAAGACATAACTCGTTTGAGAACGTGCTTTATGTGGGTCAGACAAATATCTAGCATCTGTGAAACCAATAAGGTGAGAATCAATCCAAGTACCATAGGGGGCGGCAACATTTGAAGATTCACGGGTATAAAACAAGCCCAAATCCGTAGTACCCTTGAGGTAGCGGAAAATGTCTTTAACACCATTCCAGTGCCTACGTGTGGGCGCATTGCTGTATCTAGCGTATAGATTCACAACGAAAGAGATGTCAGGTGTAGTGCACTGAGCCATGTACAATAAAGCCCCAATTGCACTTAGGTAAGGAACTTCGGGTTCCAAAATCTCTTCCTCGTCCTTCTTTGGACGGAATGGATCTCGTTTAGCATCTAGAGTCCGAACGACCATGGGTGTACTCGAAAGCTTCGCTTTATCCTCATTAAAACGACCCAACACCTTTTGGGTGTAGTTCGATTAATGTACTAGGATTCCATCCGAACAATGCTCGATCTTCAGGCCGAGACAATATCGAGTTTTCCCAAAATCCTTCATCTTAAATTCCGATTTCAAGTGTGCGGCAATTTCCTCAAGCTCTATGAGAGTCTTAATGAGATTCATGTCATCGACATTAACTGCAACGATTGCAAATCCAGAATGTGACTTCTTTATGAACACGCATGGGCATAGTTTGTTGTTCATATAACCTTGACTTGTCAAATATTCACTCAGACGGTTATACCACATCCGCCTGGATTGTTTCAATCCATAGAGTGACCTCCTTAACCTAATTAAGAGAGTGTTTCGTGGTCTAAAACTATTTGAGCCAGTCAATGGAAGTCCTTCTGGAACTTTCATGTATATTTCTGTATCTAGATCCTCATAAAGATACATAGTTACCACATTCATAAGCTGCATATTCATTTTTTCAGAAACTACCAAACTGATTAGGTAATGGAACGTTATAACGTCCATTACGGGGGAATACGTCTCCTCGCAATCAATCACAGGGCGCTGAGAGAATCCTTACGCTACGAGGTGTGCTTTATATCACACTATTTCATTCTTCTCATTACGCTTCCTCACAAAACCCACTTGTAGCCAACAGGCTTCACGCGTGGTGATGTAGGAACGATAGGTCCAAGTACTTTACGTTTCGCGAGTGAATCGAGTTCGACCTGAATTGCTTGTTTCCAGTTTGACCAATCGGTTCTATGTCGACATTCATCGGCATAACATGGTTCAATGTCATCGCTAAGCATGATGTCAGTAGTTACTGAGTACGAGAATGCATCGTCGACAATCATGTCATTCATATTCCAAACCTCATCCAATACTGTGTAGTGGACCGAAATCTCACGATTCTCGGGAGGCCGACATGGTTTTTATGAAGCATCACCGTAATCTAGAATAACCTCATGCGTTGGAACAGATGAGTGAGCGATGGTCGAATTCAAACTAAGGTCACTAGTTTGTGCCATTTTCCTCTTCCGGGGTTGTGAATCTTTTGAACCAAAGGGTCTGCCACGCTTCAGGGTCGAAGCAAGTGATTGGCTAGCCGCCAATATACCTTGCCGGGTGGAGGGTGCGGCCTCCCTACCTTCGGGGACAGTCTGGCTTTCCCAGGCGAGTTGTTGACGTACGCGGGGTACATTTATCCTTGCAGGTGTGTTTGTAGCGGGTACATGTGATCTTGTCACCTTTGCTAGATCATTAAAAGCATTCGGCATACTTTAAACAATGCTCTGAAGATTTATAATTCGTCACACCTCAGTTTCAAACTGGACAGTGCGGGGATCTAAATGAGATATAGTGGAAGCATACCACGATAATTCGCGGCGTCCTACAGGAACGTTAGTATGCTTATCTCCTTCTAACGACTGGAAAACTGTCTCATCAAAGTGTCAATCCGCAAAACATGCGGTAAAAAGATCTCCTGTCAAGGGTTCTAAGTATTGAACAATTGATGGCGAATCATAACCGACATAGATTCCCATTTTTTCTCTGAGAACCCATTTTGGTATGTAGTGGCGGTGCTATTGGCACATAAATGGCGCGCCCAAACACCCGTAAATGCGAGACGTTAGGCTCGTATCCAGTGACCAACTGTAACAGTGAATGTGGTTGGATTGCGGTGGGCCTCAGGCAGACCAACATAACTGCGTGCAATATTGCATAGCCCTGGGCAGATACCAGCAGTTTGGTTCTCATAACCAAAGTCTGAGCTATCAATTGAAGGCGCTTTATGAAAGCTTCTGCCAGGCCATTTTGGGTGTGAACATAGGGCATAGGATGTTCCACATCAATCCCTACTGACATGCAATAATCGTCAAAAGTCTGTGACGTAAACTCTTCAGCATTATCCTGTCGAATTGACTTGATCGGATAATCAGGATTGTGAGCCCTTAGCTTAATGATTTCAGCTAGGAGTTTAGCAAACACGCCATTGCATGTGGACAACAAGCAAACATGTGATCATCGTGTCGATGCATCAACCAACACCATAAAGTATCTAAATGGTCCGCATGTTGGTTGGATAGGTCCACAAATGTCCCCTTGAATCCTCTTAAGAAATTTAGGGGGGTCGTGAATAATCTTTGTATATGAGGGTTGAGTATTCAACTTCCCTAAATAACACGCTTTGCATGGTGGAACTCCAACATAGGGATGTAACTTATGTATGTGTGAAGATTTAAGGATACAAAGCATCATGTCACTTCCAGGATGTCCCAGACGGTCATGCCAAAGCAACAAAGTGTCCTGGAACTCAGGCATAAGGCCGGCCACACTGTGGGCTTCTATGTCGCGAATGGTTGTGATGTACAACCCACTCGGCAAGCGTTCCAACTTCTCGTGAATATGCTTCTAGCCATATTCATATGAAGTGATACAAAGAAATTCAGAACCATGATCTTCAGTGGTTTCAAGATGATATTGATTATCTCGAATATCTCTAAAACTCAACAACGTTATTCCAGAACGTGGAGAATAAAGTGCCTCCTTAATGGTCAGAATTGTACTATTAGACAACATGATACGTATCTTTCCATATCCTTCAATCAGGTTAGATGAGCCTGAAAGAGTTGTCAAATGAGCTTTCTTGGGTATGAAGTTAGTAAAATAGTGTCGTTCATGTAAGATGATGTGCATGGTTGCACTATCTGCCAGACAACTAACTTCCTCACTAGACATACCTAGAAATAAATTGATTGAATTGGTCACATGCATAAATATAAGTCCATTCATTCAATTAAGCAATTTTAGAAAATAATATTCATTCAAATAACAATTCATAATTCAAAACAAACCAAAACCAAACAAATTATTCCAAATACTTAGAAAAATTGTTCAAAATTAAACCTTAAACCATAAACCTAGCAAAATAGGGGGTAGAGCCGGCCACTCCTAATGGGTTCAGCCAATAGGGGTAAACAACCTAAAAACATGTCTAATTTATTCATCCATAGGTGATGATGCCTCCTGAAAATCTGATATCTTCATTGATGTAGTTGCATCTTCCGGATGATCCACATGTGCAAAGTTAAAATCACGACGGGAATGATACTTGGCAATAACCTCAGGGGAAGCTCGGCATACGCGTGACCAATGATCATTTGATCCACAACAATTGCCCATTGTCACGGCCACGACGATTCTTTCGTCATTTATAGCTGCTATAATAGGTCATATGTTCTTCAG